CTAAACCCCTAAACCCTTAAAGGGGCCCCCAAAGGAGCTCTTGAAATCCGAAGGTCCAACTTGATTCCCCGCCAGCGCCAGGTATTCTTCGTCGAGAGTGCCAGGACTGTGCTGATAGCCATAAGAAGATCTACATGAGGCCCGGGAGTTGTGTAGGGCTTATAGGGTTTAGGGTTTAGGGTTTAGGGCTTATCTAGGGCCGGTTTAGGGTTCAGGGTTCATGAGGCCCGGGAGTTGCGTAAGGGCTTCTAGGGTTTAGGCTCTTGGGCCGGTTTAGGATTCAGGGTACATGAGGCCCGGGAGTTGTGGTTTAGGGTTTAGGGTTTAGGGTTTAGGGTTTAGGGTTTCGGTTTAGGGTTCAGGGGTCATGAGGCCCGGGAGTTGCGTAGGGTTTCGTAGGGTTTAGGGCCGCTTTAGGGTTTAGGAGTTTGGGGGTTGTGGTTTAGGGTTTGGGGCCGGTTTAGGGTTTAGGAGTTTCGGGGTTGTGTTGGGTTTATGCCGTTAAGGGTCTACAGTGAGGCAGCTTCAGGTTTAGGGCCTATATGCCTTAGAGTCCTTGTATAGCCCGAGACTACACCCCACTGCGCGCCTCAACGAGTTTCAGTGAAGTTTTGGCGGTCGAGCAGTATCTATCTACCTATCTATCTATCTATCTATCTATCTGTCTGTCTATCCATCTATCTGTCTATCTATCTATTTATCCATCTATCCATCTATCCATCTATCCATCGATTAGCCTATCAATTTATCAATCTGTTCATCTCGAAGCCTACCTATTTACCTAGTTGTCTGCCTCCGATCTAAATATCTATTCATTTATCTGTCTAGTTGATGAAACGTTATTGATGCATGTGGTACATGTATATACGCTAACTACATAGAGGAACAAGCGTAAACACGTTCATTCTATTTCTCTTTCTCTCTCTCTCTCGCTCTCGTTCCCTCTCTCTCGTTCCCTCTCTCTCTCTCTCTCCCTCCGTCTCTCTGAAACTCTGCACCCTAAACCTAAGCCCCGAATCCAAAGACCTAAACTGCTCATACAGCTCTAGCGGGCATCCTCAGCAAGGAACCCTTCATTGAGAGATCTTTTCCCCTGACAGACCCAAAAAAGCCCTGACTGAAAACTCTGAAATTTAAGGCCGCACCGTAAACCCCAAGAAGCATCCGAAGTTCTACACTCTCAGCCCTAACTCTCGGAAAACGTCTCCTGTTTCGCAGGCGGAAAACGGGCCTGGATACCTGGGATGCTTACGGCGGGGTGGTGGCCGCCTGGTCCGGGGAAGGCCCTGTGGGCTTTAGGCACTTTGTGGTCCAAAAGACCTACCCCTTTTAAGGAATTAGATGTAGAAACTAATTTTTTTAAGGAATTATATGTAGAAACTACCTTTTTAAGGAATTATATGTAGGAACTACCTTTTTAAGGAATTATGTGTAGAAACTACCTTTTTAAGGAATTATGGAAAGAAGCCCAGCAGAAGGAACCCTCAAAAAGGTAGGTCTTTTCGGCTACAGCTGGGGGTCCAAGTGCCTAATGGTCACCTACACCCCAAGATACCCTTAACCCTAAACCCCTAAACCCCTAAAGCCTAAATCACTAAACCCCTAAACCCTAAATGTTAAGCCCCCAAGATGCTATACCAGGTCCTTTGGAACCCCTTAACCTGAAGCCGAAGCCTTGAGCTTGAGATCGGGCTTGTTGTTTGGATGGTCAGAAAGTTTAGGCCCTAAGCCCTAAACCCACAGCCCTGAACCCTAAAACCCCTAGACATTAAACCTAAAACCCCTAAACCCCATGAGCCATTAAACCCCTAAGCCCTAAAACCCTAAACCCTAAACCCTAAACCCTAAACCCCTAAACCCTGGTTCTGGAGTTTGTTTGGACTTTAGGTTGGGTCTCAGATTTAAACTTTGGGGTTTAGGACTCTTTTGGACGTTTTCAGTGGGGTCCAGGCTTTCGGGTTCAGGGTTCAGGGTTGTGGTTTAGGGTTTAGGG